CTGACGGGTGCCAGGCCTCCCAAGCCTAATTACTTTGAAACTGGATCTAATTTCATCAGATTTGCCAGGCGATTCAAGGAGCATTTGATTCTATGTGGGCATAGTGGTGGTTCGGATGTTAGTACGTACATGTTTTCGTACATTCGTTGTGAATCCACCTGGGAAACACTGCAGAAGGTCTCTCTCAGGCCGGACGAGAAATGTAATATCGATCTTCTCATTAAGCGATACTCAGAGGAGATGTTTCCTTCTACTCAATCTTGGGCCTTTAGAACTGAGCTCATGTCATTGCGTCAGTTAGCTAGTGAGAACCTACAGCAGTTCATTGCACGCATTGAGGAGCTTGCTTTGAAGGCTGGGTATGACTGCGAGGCCAAGAAGGACGAGAGTTGTTTGCATGTTCTTGTTGTAGGAGCTCGTGACGTAGCTGTAAGGACTAAGCTTTATGAGTCCCAGTTGCATTCCTATAGAGAAGCAGTTAAACTTGCAATTCATACTGAGCGTATTACGTTAGCTGTTAGTGGGGAACCAGGGAGTTTCACTCAGGCCCAGGATACGATCTTCGCTGTTAATAATTCTGGATTAGATGGCCAGAGAGCTAGGGTTCCAGCACCTGGGCAAACACGTGACAACTTGATGACGAGCACAAGCCAGGAGAGTTATCATCCTTAATGTCCTCCTTCCCAGTCGGAAGTTAACCAGCGCACTGGCCGTTCATGGACTCCTAATCTAGTTAGCAATAGTTTTAGGGGTGGCATGAGAAATGATGATCGTAGAAACACGCCTGTTCAGCCACGTTATCAGCCAGCTCGAAATTACGTGGGTAATTCGAATAATCGGAGATCACGTAACGTTCGCCCTCAGTTAGAAGGTTGTTGGGAGTGTGGCGATAGAGGGCATTTTCAGAGAAACTGTCCGAGCAGATTTGCTGGTAATAGAGATAGATATCAAGACGGGGGGTCTTTATATCAGAGTGGTTATGGCCAACAGAGTGGGAACAGAGCGTATAGACCTAACAATCAGGCGCCTTTAAACTTCTAAAGGGCGGCCCTAGATTTAAGAGGTCGCCCGCGGTCAAAAACACACGTTACTATGAGGATTGTAACGAGATTGGTGGCAGTAAGGGAAACTGCATTTTGGTTGGAGGAAATTGTGCTGGTAGATCAGCAAATTTCTTTGTGGATACGGGATCGTCTATTTCTATAATTGCTGAATCGTTTGTCAGATTTATAGATAAATTTGAGAAGGTTGTGTCGTGTAATCTCAAGCTTAAGTCCTTTTCGGGTAATAACATAAAGACTTTCGGTCAGATTAAGCTTCCAGTGGTTATTGCCGGCAAATCTTTTGAACACACGTTTGTTGTTTCTGAATTTCATGAGGCAGAGGTTCTGATAGGCATGGATTTGATGTTTGATCAGGGGATCAATATTAATGCCAGGGATAGATTACTGTATACTAACAAGGGTTCATCGTGTTTTAGAACACCCCCTAAACCCACTAAGCGCTGCATGAAGGTAGTATGCAATGAAACAGTAATTATACCACCTCTCTCGGGCACTCATATACAGGGAAAATTGTTGCGACCTAGAAGTCAACGTGATGACGTTTATGGCCAGTTAGAACCTCATATTAACACGGTTGTAGGTACTGGCATATTCACAGCGCACTCTCTCATACGGTCTGAGGACAATATGGTCCCTGTTAGAGTCATGAATCCTACAGATAAGCCTGTGAAGATAAGTAAGAGAACGTGGCTGGGTAAGATGAAGCCTGTAGAGTTTGGTGAGCGAGTCATGAGAGTGACCTGTGAAACAGTTAATGCGGTGTCATCTGATTGTTCAGTGCCAGAGGTAAGCAAGCTAGCTGATGAGGAGCCGCTAGTTAAGGAATGGGATAGGGAGAGTCTTTTCAAGCAGTTGAAGTTAGACGAGTTGAAGATTAGCGAGGAAGACAAGAATGATCTTCGAGAGACTGTGTGGGAGTATAGAACCGTTTTCTCGAGTGGAGAGCATGATTTAGGTTGTTGTAATTTCTTTGAGGCACATCTCCAGCTCAAGGATAACTATAAACCTAGATGGGTTCCATCGAGAAGGATTCCGTTCAAGCAGCAGCCGGAAATGGATAGACAGATTAGAGGTTTGCTTAGATCTGGTGTGGTTGAGGAATGCCCTGACCATTCTAATTTTAATTCTCCCCTTTTCCTGGTGCCATCAGGAGATCGCTCTAGATTGGTTGCGGATCTAAGAATGGTAAATTTAGAGCTTCAGGATGATTTAATGGAGCTGCCGAATTTGAACCACATTTTAGACAAAGTGGGCGATAAAAATCTGTATTCAACAGTGGATTTGAGTAAATCTTTTCACCAGGTTCCGTATACCAAGGAATCCAGGCATGTCACGGCGTTCATGCACAATCAGAAGAGGTATCAGTTTGCTAGAATGGTCATGGGCCTGAAATCTAGTTCAGCTACGTTTACTAGAATGGTCATGCGGTTGATAAACGGTCTGGGTATATCAGATGCGTTAGCATTCTTCATAGATGATTTACTGATATTCACGCGTGATGTAAAATCTCACATTCAGATACTGTCAGTACTCTTTGCTCGTCTTAAGTTGGGTAAGCTCAAACTAACACCTCGTAAGTGCAGATTTTTACGTGAGGAGGTTGAATATGTCGGTATTACTCTAACTAAGGAAGGAGTCAGGATGAACGACTCTCGTATAGAGCATATTAAGAGTCTAGAACCTCCCAGTAATAGAGCTGAATTGCAATCAGTTTTAGGCATGTTGAATTATTCCAAGAAGTTCTGCAAGGGATATTCCGAGATAGCACGTCCTCTCTATGCGTTACTTCGTAAGAACAAGGTATTCGAGTGGACCGAGGATTGCCAGATTGCATTTCAGAAGTTACGTGACATGTTGATATCTAGTCCTGTCCTAGCATTTCCGGAGGTTAGTGATCCGGAAAATAGTTATGAGGTAACTTTGGATGGTTCTAAACACGCATTTGGTGGTACTTTGACTCAGTGGATCAAAGGTAAGAGGAGGGTAATTGCGTACTTTTCTCGTAAGGTTCCGGACCACAAGCGGATATGGCCGCAAACTCAGATTGAATTTGAGACTTTATATCAGACTCTGAAACATTTCTCGGTTTACTTACGTGGCGTTAAAAACTTCACTGTTATCACAGATTGTCTGCCACTCTTGAATATTACGACAATATTTTCAAAGATGTCATCTTCTGTTATCAGGAAGCTTCAGGAGCTTGCTAACTATACTTTTACTATGAAGCATATCTCGGGGAAGAGTAACCAGATGTGTGATGGACTTAGTCGTTATAAGTACCAAGTTTATGGTAAATCTCGAGAAAATGTTGCGAGCATTGGTCATAGTTCCACTTTTAGTCTTGATGCTGCGTTAGAGGGAGTAAACCGGGTGAGACGTGAACATTATAGATGTAAACACCCGATACTGTTTAAGAGGATGCAGGTACCGGTTAGCAGCGAGACTGTGGTTGATGATGATTGCAGTAATCTGGTTAAGGAATCTTGCAATGAGGTGAGTGTTGAGGACAGTATGATTCCGGGGTTCTTGTTTGATGAGAATAGTGAAGACCCTAGTGTTGTAAACATTGTTCAGATTACGCCTGAAGTTGATAGCCGACATTGCAATTGTAATCTTACTCAGGCTGATACTACAGAGGAAGCATCAGTAGTTGCGGGAGCAGTTGAAAATGTTTCAGCGGTTACTAGTGATGTAATCTCACTAGAGAGAGGAGTAAAGTTTCTTAATCCGACCCATGAGCAGATTATACAGGCTCAGAAGGAGGATGATATCTTAAACCAGGTCTATAGTTGGGTGATCAAGAAGGAGAAACCGGTGGTAATTCAGGCGGGTAGAATGCCACAGGAACTGTTAAGTTATTGGAAACAGTTTGATCTTATAAGTATCAAGGACGGGATACTTAGGAGACGTTGGACTGAAGTGAGAGATCCGGAGGGGAGTAGAGAGTTGATCATAGTCCCCGAATCCTTGCATGAATCTGTCCTGGACATGGTGCATAACCAGGAGACTGCACATGCTGGAGTAGAAAATTGTCTTGAAGTCTGTAAACGACATTTCTACTGGCCGAAAATGGGTGAATGTTTCAAATTGTGGATCGCAGCATGTTGCAAGTGTGCAGCAAGTAAGCCACCTCAGGCATACAATAAGGCACCCCTCAAGCACATATTGTTCCACTCATTTAACTCAGCAATTTGTTTCGATCATATAGTTCCTGAGAAGGTTGGGGCTACACCTAGAGGTTATAAGTATATTTTGACTATAACTGATTGTTGGTCAAATTATGTGGTAGCTATTCCTACTAAGACCCAGACAGCTAAGGAGAGCGTGTCCTTGATTCGTAGGTTTTGGATTGATCGTTTTGGCCAGCCTAGATTCATGATGGCTGATAATCATCCGGGTTTTAGAGCTAATTATTTCGAGACCATAGCTCAAGCCCTAGATTGCAAATACATTCATGGCCAACCATACGTTTCTCGAAGTACTGGAAGAGTTGAAAGAGCGAACCGTCGGTTGAATACTGCACTGAGAACCAGCTTACCACCGGGACGATACCAGGTGTTAAGAGGCGTACTCGGATTTTAGCACGACAACTTACTTAACGGCCTATTTACTGCTCCAATTTTCCATGACTTCTAGAGATTATTTATTTATTATATTTCATTAAATTGTGATGGTATTAATTTAACTACGTATAATGGGCTCCTTTTAACTAGAGTATGGATATTCAGGTTCCGATATTATGGAATACCTCCCGGCTTGAGACTCACTCAGGGCATAGTTCAAACCCAAACTCTCAGTGTACAATGGTAGATTTATGACAGGAATTTATGTTATAATTATGGACTTCGAACTTTTAGGGGAAATTATGTCTAGAGTTTTAACTTCGAACTTTTAGATGAATTTATATCTGGAAGATAACCAATTGAAACAAGTAAATACAAATTGTAAAATAATGCAAGACCAATCCAATCGTACATAAAGTAAGTGTTCAATCTCATGGTAAAGTCCGTTACCCTAAATCAGTTGGGTAGCTGGGTGATCAATGGGAACTGGTGTGTATCATAACGGGCTGGCTGACTCTCTCTCTGGACGATGGACAGGTAGCTGCTATATCATGGCTACGTTCCTTCAATGCTGCCAACGAGGGCAGAATCCGTGGGAGGGGAATGTCCTAGAAAGGGACAAATTATTAGCAAATGACGGATTAATTAAAGACAATAATATACTAACTAGGATAAAATTAAACAAGATAAAGTTAAATTAGAATGAACTGTAGAATACTAAATATGTAAGAACTTATCAATAAATGCTCAAATGACTTACGAGGTAATAATGTAGGTGCTGCTAAGGTTAGGACAAGCAACCAGGTAGGATAGGCTCACCACAATATTACCTAGGAAGGTATAAACCTATTAGAATTTAATTACTAACCAATCGGGAATGACTTTAGTATTACGAACAATGTGAATCAATAATTGGAATTAACATTGCAATGAACAACATCTAATTAATAGTTTAATAATTATAAAAGCTCTACCTCGAGGAACAAACTTCCTAGCCTATCAGGAATTCAACAGAAGCGACGGGAACCAATTACAATTATCTGGCATGACGTTAGGAAAATCTGGTGAGAATAACGGATAAGTATTTTACCCGCATATTATATACAGAACTTGAACTCGTGGATTTAATCTTAACCTAATTATGCATGATATTGATACGGTCTTAGGAACAAAATACTAAGGTCAATCATTTAAAATAAAGGATTACAAACCTATTTATGAAACTAGTGACATGGGAGAGAGCGCAGCATACTAACACCCGGGCCGTGTAGGGAAAACCAATCATAGGAGAGGCGTTCGGGAAAAGGCTAAAGGCAGACGGCAGCTACGGCAGTGAGAATCTTGTGTGTTCATCTTTTGTAGTCTAGGTGTTCTGTGGAAGAGGAGCTCCAGTGGAAGAGGCGGTCCACGCGTTATCCAGGAGAGTTGCAAACAAACAGGTTATTGCAAACAGGTTATTGCAAACAAACAGGTTTAATAATACAAATACAGGTTTTTAAAACTGGTTAAAATACCGTTCCACTAATTGATGATTCAATAACTCTATTAATCCAATAATTTCGTTATAAATAATTCTAATAACACTAGATGTCCTTTCTGACCAATGGCTGCAGTGCTCTGCAAATCTCTCCAATCAGATCTTAATCATATAAATGATCACTTAATTCATCTTAATCATATAAGTTCTCACCTAATTCATCTTTATGACACTTTATGTTACGGTGAATATTTGCAAATTTACATGGTTTATTTACCATTTTAATCCACATATTTACAAATCTAATTACTACTAACGCAGCATACTGGGGTTCAACTTAACTTCTAGTTCTGAGGTACTACACACGTCCCTAACATGTCCCCGATCGATTTTAGGACGTCCCCGTCATAACAAACCCATCTATAATTTAAGCTCTTTCTTTTAAAATAATGACCCTTTCTTTTTATCTAAAAAAATCGTACATTAAAATAACTAACTATCTTTAAAAAAAACAAATCTCTAACTCCTTGTGCATAAGGCTTCATAAAACTTAATATACTCGATAGTTACTAGAATATGAGGCAACTGGTTATTAGTTGCACTATTAACAGTTAGTGGACAATCAACCACATTGAATTTAGGTGCGTGAGTCTCGGTATTTGTAAATTTTGTGGAGTCAATCAACTCATTAACACCTCAGAAATTCAGAAATTCTAAGAAATTTAGAGCCACTAATGCCATTACCAGGAATTAAAGGATTTCCAGGAATCTGGTATAAATGTTGGTGTGTCATGCTATACAGACTTGTTGCCACAAGATTCAATAAATTTATTAAAAAAATTTTTTTTAGAGAAAAAGGTAAAGAAGTATACATACCCCTTTTACGACAGATAAACTTCCTATACCACAAAAGCTTGACCCCATCTATAATTTACTTTGACTTTGAAATTTCTTACAACCAGCGGCTATACTTCGCACTTCTGGTCTTCGACCTCCTGTTACATTACAACTGCTTCTATTCAATCATAACTTTTAATTTTTATGCACCCTTACTTACTTATTTATTCTTACTTAATCATTATGTGTAACCAGGCGCAGTCTGAGCTGACCCCATTTCCGCAGTTTAAAGAACTGCCCATTGCTTCCCAAGGTTCACTTTTTAATCCCCTTGATCACAACAGCTACATTCGCTTACTAACTGGACGATCCTAAAGACCAAGTCGCTTTTAGCTTATGTAGGCCCGACTGTACATTGAGCAGATCACGCAACCTTTTACATAAAAGGATGTTACGCATATGTGAACCTACCGGCAAGGGACCCAGTCTGTAGCGATGGATGACCAGTAAGTGGGATTGGCACTCCTAGGTTCCACCGACGGTCTGACCCATAGAGGACTTAGCTGTCACAACTATGAACTTTGACCGTTTTCTCTTGCCTTGCCTGTTCACTAGATCTTATCTTCCAAATTTTTATTTACTCCCTTTCTGGGTAATTTTCCACCTTTGTGGGGTTCAAAAAGATAAGATACTAGCTAGGTGTGGACTGTCGTCCACGTACCACCGTGTTCCACTTGCCTGGGGACGTATGTCCAGTCCTGGGGGTGACAAGCTCCAGGTACTGAACACCAGGTAGCCCGAAAACACGGCCGACTAGAGGGTACCAAGGCAGTGTGTTAATTCACACTTCGTTAGACACAGGAGCCTTCAGTTTCCTCTCCAGCACTATAGAATTGTTTAACGTGTCCCCGGATCCTCGCGGATTCGCCTCCCCCTGTTGGGCACTGGGATTATAAGGAGCTCATCCCTCTTCCCACGCTCAGGTGTTTCTCTAAGTCTGGCACTGATATTGGCACTATCGTATTATGAAATAATGATTGTACAATGTACATGTTTACGACAGATAAACTTTCTATACCACAAACCCTTGACCCAAAACTAAAATTACTTTGACTTTGAACTCTCTTACAGCTAGCGGCTATACTTCGATCAGCCGAATCTACTTATAGTTACACAATTTAAAACACAGCACAAAAGGGTTTGCTGCTAAAAAAAACAATATTCTAACTTATTTATTCTCGCTAAAACATCTGACCTTAAAGTTCTCTCAACTTTGTTCGTAACTAAAAGACAGGCGTTATTCTTCTTCACGCTCTGTATAATACTTGAATTACTGCAGCTGCTGAACCTGTCTCAGTATTCTGCGGAAACTTCAAGATAAAAAATAATAATACTGCCTGATGCAGTAAACAATCAATTTGCATTAATAACTGTGCAGCCACCAGCCAACACTCACAACTTAAAATACCCTGCATCCAATAAAATTTGTATCCCTTATCTCCCAACGTATTTCAAACTATGCCAACTTTAACCAATATACCCTTTATCAAATCTCATATTACTCGTATCATCTCGTCACATCTGAATTCATCTTCCCCATCTTCACATCCGCATACCCTATTATACTAATCATCTTTATTTCTAAACAACAAATCCTTTATCAAATCTCCCTCTGTCTCATCATAATTCAAATATCTTCTCTTCTTCACGTCCGCATACCCTATTACGCTAAATCATGTTGCCAATCTTAGTTTCAAAGTTCGAAGGGTCGTCACTGGATCTGAAGTGTTTCTAACCACCAAGCGCGCATTTGGCGGTATCACAACACCCAAATAACAGATAAGAAGCCCATCTACTTATCAAAACTAACGCCTTGTCAACAACCATTATAGCACCTCCTCCCATTAACTTCACAACATCTTCTGAACCCCGTATCCCTTTAGCCGGCTAATAGTTTATACTGCAGTTTAATATATCTCCCCATAATATACTTGTCTCACATTTCAACATCTCATAATATCCCGTAATCTTCTCAACTTTATCATACATCTCCTCTCATCATTCCCATCTTTACCTAATTATACGGCCGTATATTACCTATGGTATTTATCACCACTTTCCCTTTCACATCATCATCATATCTATGACTACTCAATATCATCACATCTTCATCTCATTTACCAAATCTCTTCCCAATTCTCATCATCATATCCCTCTTGCCCAAATATCATCATCATTATATCTACCCCACAATATCTTATAAATTCTTTTCCACTTCTACACTAAACCATTATCTCATCATCAAAACTTCTCAGTTGTGGCTTCATCATTCTATGGTGATGGCTGCAACAACTACTATCAATGTAAATAAACAAATTGCACTAACGGTGCACTAACAAGAAAAACAAGCAAACTAAAGTTTGGCGTCTCTTCCAGATTTTTGAAATTTTGCTACCAAAATTTGTACAGAGAGAGCCGCATTAGGGCTACATTGTTAAGAGGCGTACTCGGATTTTAGCACGACAACTTACTTAACGGCCTATTTACTGCTCCAATTTTCCATGACTTCTAGAGATTATTTATTTATTATATTTCATTAAATTGTGATGGTATTAATTTAACTACGTATAATGGGCTCCTTTTAACTAGAGTATGGATATTCAGGTTCCGATATTATGGAATACCTCCCGGCTTGAGACTCACTCAGGGCATAGTTCAAACCCAAACTCTCAGTGTACAATGGTAGATTTATGACAGGAATTTATGTTATAATTATGGACTTCGAACTTTTAGGGGAAATTATGTCTAGAGTTTTAACTTCGAACTTTTAGATGAATTTATATCTGGAAGATAACCAATTAAAACAAGTGAATAAGATTGTAAAATAATGCAAGACCAATCCAATCGTACATAAAATAAGTGTTCAATCTCATGGTAAAGTCCGTTACCCTAAATCAGTTGGGTAGCTGGGTGATCAATGGGAACTGGTGTGTATTATAACGGGCTGGCTGACTCTCTCTCTGGACGATGGACAGGTAGCTGCTATATCATGGCTACGTTCCTTCAATGCTGCCAACGAGGGCAGAATCCGTGGGAGGGGAATGTCCTAGAAAGGGACAAATTATTAGCAAATGACGGATTAATTAAAGACAATAATATACTAACTAGGATAAAATTAAACAAGATAAAGTTAAATTAGAGTGAACTGTAGAATACTAAATATGTAAGAACTTATCAATAAATGCTCAAATGACTTACGAGGTAATAATGTAGGTGCTGCTAAGGTTAGGACAAGCAAACAGGTAGGATAGGCTCACCACAATATTACCTAGGAATGTATAAACCTATTAGAATTTAATTACTAACCTATCGGGAATGACTTTAGTATTACGAACAATGTGAATCAATAATTGGAAATAACATTGCAATGAACAACATCTAATTAATGGTTTAATAATTATAAAAGCTCTACCTCGAGGAACAAACTTCCTAGCCTATCAGGAATTCAACAGAAGCGACGGGAACCAATTACAATGATCTGGCATGACGTTAGGAAAATCTGGTGAGAATAACGGATAAGTATTTTACCCGCATATTATATACAGAACTTGAACTCATGGATTTAATCTTAACCTAATTATGCATGATATTGATACGGTCTTAGGAACAAAATACTAAGGTCAATGATTTAAAATAAAGGACTACAAACCTATTTATGAAACTAGTGACGTGGGAGAGAGCGCAGCATACTAACATCCCGGGCCGTGTAGGGAAAACCAATCATAGGAGAGGCGTTCGGGAAAAGGCTAAAGGCAGACGGCAGTGAGAATCTTGTGTGTTCATCTTTTGTAGTCTAGGTGTTCTGTGGAAGAGGAGCTCCAGTGGAAGAGGCGGTCCACGCGTTATCCAGGAGAGTTGCAAACAAACAAGTTATTGCAAACAGGTTATTACAAACAAACAGGTTTAATAATACAAATACAGGTTTTTAAAACTGGTTAAAATACCGTTCCACTAATTGATGAATTCAATAACTCTATTAATACAATAATTTCGTTATAAATAATTCTAATAAAACTAGATGTCCTTTCTGACCAATGGCTGCAGTGCTCTGCAAATCTCTCCAATCAGATCTTAATCATATAAATGATCACTTAATTCATCTTAATCATATAAGTTCTCACCTAATTCATCTTTATGACACTTTATGTTACGGTGAATATTTGCAAATTTACATGGTTTATTTACCATTTTAATCCACATATTTACAAATCTAATTACTACTAACGCAGCATACTGGGGTTCAACTTAACTTCTAGTTCTGAGGTACTACACACGTCCCTAACACCAGGACTGGGATCTTTGGTTATCTAGAGTAGTCTTTGTACTTAACTCGTTGCGGAATCGGCACACAGGTTATTCTAGCAACAGGTTGGTATTTGGTCGTGAGTTAAACACACCTTTAAGCCTGCTAGCTGAGAATCGTAAGGATTTCGAGCTAGAGCCTATGAAGGAGAATGAGTTTGATGTTGAAGCATACGAGCTGTACAAGAATCTCAAGTTTATCACCAGGAAGGTGAGGGTCCAAGCTGAGCGTGATTTTTGCTATGCACAGAGATATCACGATAAGCACGTTAAGGGACCATTCTTTGAGGAAGGTGAGGAAGCTTTTGTTTTGATAAATTGTCCAAAGCACAAGTTCGGTCCTCGTTGGGTTGGCCCGTATAAGATCTCTAAGAAGATAAACGATCACTTGTACTGTTTAGATTTGCCTGATGGAGAGAAGAAGGTGTTTAACATTGGAAAGTTAAAGAGATATGTCAGGAACAAGTTTTCTGAGAAACTAGAGACTAGCTTTACATTGCCTAAAATTGTTAGCAGTGAAGCCGAGTTAAAGACGGACTCATCAAGGCGAGATGTAGTCTATTCCGATAGTGATAGTGAAGAGGAGACAGATTTTCAACTGAGAAGAGCACCAGTTGTAGCAAGGAGAAGAGAGGTTCATCCGAAGAAGTTTCGTCTGGAGAAGGATGGTGCAGCTAGCATTTATAAACAACCTAGTTTAAGTTCTACTCCTAGGGTTGTGAATAGTCCTGCACAACTAGATACGAATTCTACTAATCCTAGTTTTAGTACTGTAACACCTCTCACACATAACATTCCCTCAGGCGATAGTGTAGAAACAGTTGATAATTCTGCAGAATTCTTCACTCCAGCTAGAGAGAGATCGGCCGATAGAAGATCATCGAGTCCGGTTGTTGGTGAAGGAACGATGGGTCATAGCAGTTCTATGTCATATGATTCAGTGGGGCACGACATTGACACAACAGGATCGCTTTCTCCTGTGGATCTAAGAAGACAGAGCCCTCCGAGGGAGGAGCGTAGATATAACACTAGGAGACCTGAGGAGCGGAGACAACCCGACCGTTTGGGGTACGAGAAAGTTAGTGTGGTCAAGGATCTCTTGAGGTATTTGAGCCAGTAGAAGACGGGAAGAAGCCCTGACAGGGAGTACACTTACTTTGGAATCTAGTCTCAGTACAGTAATATCTTACGCACTTAGCTAGAACTTTCCATTTAGTACTTAGCAGTGATTTAGTACCTTACTTAGGTATAACACGTGTATCTTTCAGAACAGTACTGATAGGGATATTAGGATCTTTACTCGCAACACGACTCGCTCAGGGCTGCTTTAGTGGTGGAAACGTAGATACTTTCGAATTTATTTTGACTTCTTTGTTTGCTTGTCAAGGACGTTTTAGAGATTCAGATATCAGATACATCTCTATCAATTGATGAAGACTCAACACCAAGGACTATACAACTTGGTGCGAAAAGGAAGTATTGGAAAGTTTTGAAAGATTTTTGGAAGTCAATTTTAGTTTTAATTTTAGTATTTTGAGGATTTAAATTTAATGCACAGGGTTAGGGCCGTGTTTTATATTTTGAAACTTGACCTATTTTTAAGTTTTGGACTTTTGATGCGTGGAAGCATTGAAATTTAAATTTTGAAAAGGGCGATTATTTTATTGTTTTAAAATATTCGAAAAAAATGTTTGGGTAGAGATGTTGTAATATGGTATTTAGAGATATCTTTTAGAATATCTTAGTTCTAGTATAACGTTTAAGGGACGTAGAATTTAGTATGTATTTCCGGGTATATAATAACCAATGTTTTTATATGTTCGTATTTGGGAGTTACACATTTTGAGTGTAAGTCGGTTGGCTGGCAGAACTACTGTCAGACTAACTGTCTGAAACGAGCCGTCCGCTCCCTTTGCACCTGACTTACAGCCAGGCCTGTGGTTGGTCCTCGCGACCACAGCGTGACTGCTAGTGGAGTGCTCATTGGCGAGACGGCGTGTCACGTGGTACAAGCAGATGCGTTGTGCCGTCACGCAGTGAGGCGTGACGAAGTTTTGAGAGTATACCCGGAGAGCCGGATGTGGAGAACTCACTTCTTAGTTGCCCCTTAATCACTTTAAGGGATTCGAATTAACGGTAGCCAGTCTTACTGAGCACTACCAGCTGTGATTAGACACGTCGTGTGATCTATAATCACGTTAATCGATTTGAGCGAACACTTGGAAGTTTTTATCTGTTGACGTTCACTTTGTATTACTTTTCCTTTTAATTAATTATCCATTTTAATATACTCGTTTCATTTCTACCTTACGGTACGCCCTGCCGTTCGTGCTTCGTGACTAGAGCTTGACTAGCATACACTAAATACCAAGAGAACTCGGTTTTCTATACAATTACAACGTGTATATTAAGTTTATGAACAGTAATACTAATGGATCTGAAGATGCATTCCCGTCTAATATAATAACTTCTTATTTTATTTAATATGACGAAACCTCAAACCACTTTATCTAGAATTATAAATTTGAGTTGCAACTTAAACATCACACTATCATAAATAAATAAAAAATATACTATATTGGCAGAGAAGCCACGCTTCGAAGCTGCTCGAATTGGAAATAAAGCTGCTGAAAAACATAAAGCTGTCATGTCAAAGTATCATTTGGAAGCTTTAGCACCGTCCATCAGATACTGATCAAAGCTAAAGAACTCAGACTGTCTCAGTGTTTCAAAACTGTCTTAATTTCACCAGATCGATCACACTAGATCCTCATTATTATCATAGTCCTGTTGGATTTTAGAAACGATATCTCGCATCAAGAAAGGCTCTTCTTGTCCTTTGATAGGAATGGTATAGTCTTGGGAAAGCTGAAGCTGTGTAATGATTTTAGTCATTACTAAAGGTTTATTCTGTAAAAATGTGCAGGCCACATTTATGTTACTACCGTACTCTGTTATCTCCCATCTGAGTGATGCATTGGGATTATTAATATTCTTATCTTTGTTTAAACATTTGTTTTCAAAAGATTCCCTCATCTTTACAAACTCATTGACTTGAGATGCTACTTTTTCTCTGCCTACCCTATGGAGGTGCAGCTCGAATGATTTGTTAAAATGATCAAATATTTGAGCATCTATAACTTGATATTTCAATATTCTGGCTTTAGTTTCCTCTGACAGTGTCACTTTTGGCTTTGAACTGACATTACGATTTAGATACAAAATGTCAGTCATATTCCAGCCAAGATATTCTTTAAGAATGATAAGACTTTCGTCCATTCTGTCGGTTATCATAACAAAGTCCATCTCTTGGTCCAGATGTTCTATAAAGGCGTTTATCTTCTCTTGAAGTGTTGATTCCAACATTCTGCAATACAATGAAAATATTAAATATCAATTTCACATTACCACCTTTTTCTTCAAAAATAAAGATGTTTCATAAATTCTGGACCAACTTTTACATAAATACAAGGCCTTTTTCCAGCAATCGGTGTTTTTAATGATTGGTTACAGATTTCAGAAGTCTGGTTACCAAATGTACTGATTATTCAGTAAACATCATTGGTTTCAGATTTTAGAAATCTGGCTAAAAATAAAATGTATTTACCTGCGCTTAAAAGCGTCCCATCCCAAGTCTTTAGCCACACTGTTGATACACCCGCTTATAACAGGGGCAGTGTATTCTGTAGGTTCGGATATTTTGTCCAAGTAGTGTCCAATCAACGCGTCTATTGATAGGTCACCGTACTTCTAAAGGAGAGTTAGCAGTGAACATCTTTTTGTACATATTTAAACATCTTCATTTAAATGTACACCAAATTGTTGTTTGAATGTGGGACAATTTTGAAAAACTTAACTGAGGTACTAGCAAAACTGCGCGTTTTACTCTAGAAAGTAGAAACACACTTTTTTAGAGATTTTACCGGCGTATCTTTTAATTCTTAAATCACCTAATTTGTTCAGTTATAGGGAGGAGCGCCAAAAGGGGAGAGGGCGTCAACAGGGGGCGCATTTTCGGCGTTACGCCACTGACTAGTCTTTTTGGTCCAAAGTTCCAATGAAACGAATTGTTCTGAGACAAATGGAGTCGTCCAACCCCCTTGTGGCTTGTTCATAAATATATTGACTCGCTTGTTTTGTTAGGGCAAATTTATATCAGCTATTCGATTACTTATATTCTGTAACCTAACTTGGTACGAATAGAGAATTTGGATGAACGGGATTAAAAATCTGGACTAAAAAAAGAAGCTTTTACATTCGATGACATACCATTCGCATTTTGTCCTCGTTCCTAAAAAAGCTAAAAGCAGACTTAAACTGGGACACTGGAGATCTGACAATAGTAGAGTAAAGAGAGGTTTCTTTGGGCATTATCGTGTGTTCAGCGTCTGGTTGGAAAATTCCGTGTACACACTGCATGTTGTACACTGATCCAGGTCTTGGAGGTAGCAGGTGCCTGAAAAAAGGAATTAAAATATAAGGTATTATCGTTTATGTCATGACCAAAATTATTCCAACTTAATTTTAACCTTTTGTCAAGTACGACGTAGCAAATCAAACTTTTTTGATTGTTTAATGTATTCAAATTGAGGGTAGGTAAAGATCGAGTAAGCGTTGATCTCCTGAACTTTAGATACGTATTAAATTCCAAAAGGTAGAAGACGAGTATCATTATTTTAACCTTAGCTGAACAACAAAGTTCAGTAAGCGCCGAACTCTCAACAGTGTTGGTGCTATACAGTATTGAGTATACGGTATTGAGTATACGAATACATGTGAGGGCATGTGGTTTCACGCCAAGAGGCACATGCTACGAGGACACGGCAGGACGCGAAGAGACTCCTCAGCCCTCGTTGAATTCATCTGGCTGAGTAGGAACCACCTGACCCGCTCCGGCCCTTCCGTCAGAAGATATTTTAACCAGGAGCTCCCGCAGTTGATGCGTAGAATTTTTGATTAGAATGTGTTTAATAGTTTTGTAAATATACCGATTGATTATGTAATATATTGCTTACAGTTTAATGAAATTATTATGTACAGTTATGTACAGTTCAATCGTGTTTTTCACTTGTTCGTTAATCAATAGATATTATAACCAAAGTTAAAATTGTGTATCTGAAAATTATATTGCTCTGGCTCATATATATTATATTGCGATAGTATAATACTATCGCAAATATAAGTAGGTAATAAATGATATCATTGTGAGGTTAGTAGCCCAGCCATAATTCATATTGCCCGAATGACCGTGCCTCAGGTGGTTTTGCCCGAGTTGTGCTTTTTGCCCGATATATACCCGAGGTGTGCCCCGGGTGTGCCCAGGTTCTTTTCCCAAGGTTTCCCAATTACCATGCCCGACTTTTGCCCGAGATGTGCCCGAGGTGTGCCCGAGGTGTGCCCCAGGTGGTTCTGCCCGAGGTGTGCCCGAGGTGTGCTTTCTGCCCGAGATGTGCCCCAGGTGTGCCCGAGTTTGTGCCCGAGGTGTGCCCGAGTTTGTGCCCGAGGTGTGCCTGAGGTGTGCCCCAGATGTGCATCGGCAGATTACCGAATTGCCGAGTATACAACTCTCAGTACATTATGGGAAATGTGGACTAAGACTCTTCAACGTGGTCTAGTGAATAAATGGGCAATTTTGCAGGTTTGCTGAGTGATGCTGCTAATGATCTTGGTTGTTGTTGTTGGATCTTTTCCTAAAAGCGATAACAAAAATAGAGGAAATGAAAAATGACATGATTAATTCTCAGAAATCAGAAATCAGTAATTCAGTTACAACATGCAATTGAACTTTTGCACATTAAGACTAAAGAGCTAGGTTCAGTCCAGCTAGAACTGTTAAAACCGCTGTAGAGAATACTGTTCAAGCTTAAGTCAAAACATTCCCCCAGTTCTGCCTCCATTTTCACGGCAGAAAACTTGAAGAAAGTCGTTCAGAACGTTGTATCGGAAGAAGATCGCAGTAGGAATGTGCTAATTTTTGGTTCTAAGGAGAAACTTTAAGACAGGCGTAAAGATTCTTTTTTAGTCGCAAGTCATTTGTTGGCCTATCTGACCGTCAACAAATGAAGTAAGAAGCTGTCTCAGCAGCTATTGTGAAATGCAAGTCAAACAAATCATGTCACATGTAGTAACGTATACTAGGCAAAAAGGAACAGATATTTCTCCTTTTTCCCTATCTTTCAATATTGTGAGTATCCTCTCAAGTCTCGATACCTCGAAACTTTATCAAATGACAAGAAACTCTATATGGTGGTATATAAATATGATGGTGGTATATATATATATGATATATCATAGATGAATTTGTAAAGTAATTCTACGTGATAACTGATAATGTATCACTGTTGAACACTGAACAATTAGTTCTCCTTTACATGCCTGCATGCGTTTAACTTTATAATTGTATAAACTCACCGGTAATCTACAACATGCCTGCATGTTTACATGCCTGCATGCGTTTAACTTTATAACTGGATAAACTTACCGGTAATCTACAACATGCCTGCATGTTTACATGACTGCATGCGTTTAACTTTATAACTGTATAAACTCACCGGTAATCTACAACGGTGTTTATGTCAGTTTTATAAGGAACCAACACAAAGTTGAGCCTTTTTCTGACTCCACGAAGATAAAAAACATCAGTTACGGTGGAAGTTCCACACTTGTGGGTCTTTATAAACATCAAGTTATTTTTAATTGATATCTGTTCCGAATGACTTAAACTTGGCTTTATATCTTTTGACTCGAACAGTTGATCTGAATTTGTTAATGTTGAAATCACGTTCTCTGATGTGTCTGAAACTACACCCTCACTGACAGAAATATTTATTATCGGCGAATTGACCATATAGGAGCCTATGTCAGAAATCTCCACCCTTTTTCCTTTGTCGTTTGCTAGTTCAAACATCAAGAAAACCAAACATGTAACCAATATGCACACGCCAAGTTTTAAACCAGAGTTCAGTGAAGGTACCATTTCTGATTGTTGCTGAGGATAGCAGTATTTTACTGTCAGGTTGCATAAACAAAATAAACATATGGTTACATAGAAATATACATGATTTTCAAATTCAATATGCACTATGCTGATGCAGGGTGGGCCAAAAGTCATTGGGCATACGTTGGCCTTAATAGCTCAGTCACTGAGTGTCCAATTGAAATAATTATTTCTGGTATGACTTTCTACCACCACTGGTTCGGGGAATTTGTCCAATCGAAAAATATTCGAGTTCATTTTTTTCAAATTAAGGTTCATTTTCGCATTTATTTGATATTTTGGATAGTTGTTCCAAATTACAGCCAAACCACAAACAATGTTATTAAAATTAAATTAGCGGGCCAATACACAGGATTAACACTCTTATTAGATTCAATGTAGTTCCTCCTTACAGTTACACATGTGTAGAGCATTCGCATTACTGGGCCGCGCTCAGCCTGTCATTCCGCCGAATCTCTATTGTTGTTACATAATAGCCTGAGGTGACCAGGTAACATTCGCATAGCCATGAGTCTATGCCGATGCGTACTGCGTGACGCGCTTGTTTCATAAGTAAAATAGATCCTGTGCCTTCGGCGGTCTCGCGCTACTGCAAGCGAGAGGCGGCTCTGGTTGGAGCAATGTAAAGCAAATAACAAACTTAAATTAATCTATTAAAATGAACACAACTTTGCATTTATGGGTGATGGGCAGCAAAAAGTGTAAATACTGACACGTCACCAGAAATTGAAAGTACACGTTGCTTAAGCTATGAGTATGGTCACCCCCACATTTGCTAGTAGTTGGTTGGCGACGTTACTTTATGGGTATCGAATATCGCGACTTCAACGAAGTCCTGGAGACAAGTTTTCAATAATCCATAAACTTATTAGCCCTTATCTTTTTAAGCATCGTTTACTAGTATATACTAATTACTATACGTTATATAAAAAAGTGCTATATATTATGTACTAGTACTACTAGACTACTCTTGCTTTGAAGTCAACCAAATTCCCTTCCCTCTACATATCATGACATCATGTTTAAAATATGAAAATTTACCGTAGAACAAAATAAAAGAAAACATATATATTTTATCATACATACATTTATGAATGATAAAATTATGACTCAAAATGATGAAATAATCCACTAACTCTACCTAATGTAGATAAACAATATAGGTTCAATAACGAACAAGACACTGTTACTTAGGCAGATTGAAATACAAGCTGATCGTACCTTATGCAATCATTTCAAAGGAGCAGGTGGATAGGAAGTGAATAAGAGGGAAGAGATGCAGTTAACAAATTTAGTTATACTATTACTAGGAGGTGAAATGTGAACGTATTGACTGTGATTGTGAACGTATTGATGACGTTATAACGGCAGAATTTTAACAAACATTTCAACTTTGCAATCCCTTCATTTCTATCATTGTCACTGTTAAATAAAATAAAGCTGCCGTCTTCTTATCAAATTCAGTGCACGACTTTACCTGGACTATTATATTTATGCTCATAATCATGGAGATTAGGCGGAATGACAACCTGAGCGCCGCCCAGTAAGCACGACTAAAAATCGTTTCTTGTCTTTAGGCGGAGGATCCCCAAGAGAAATCAGCGTTACGAAAATGAATGCACTATTTCATATTTACATTAGGGAGTCATAATTAAATTATTATGATACTAAATTTCGGGATTCTTTCGGTATTTTGATCCCCGGAATTAAGTCCAACAAAGATATGCAACTCCTAAGGCTAAACATCATTCAGAAATCGTCCGTACCCACTAACCTTTTCTTTGAAATCCTCTAATTGTTTAAAGCCTCATTCGAAGTGCTTCATTTTAATATGTTTATCTGTTATCCTGATATGTTTCGTCATCAAAATAGTCGCTGCAAACACGTTTGAGGACGCTGCCTTGGACACTGGATGAAAGATTTGCTGAAAAATTGAAAGTCGAAATCGAAAACGGAAAATTAAATTGAGTGTACAAGACAATCTCAAACTAAAGTCCGACAAATCGAACATATATTCAAAATTTTGATATTTATAGACTTACAAAGTCTGTACATAGTACAGTTAAAGTTTTCTATACCTTGCCTTTTTAAATCGTGATTTGGGCGGACGTCACGAGGACGCGCTAAGCACTCCAGCGTTCGACAGAAAGTTCAGCTGTTCAGATCTGACAGTGTTGTTATTACATTGTGACTGTATCCATTCCAACTTTCGTTCGTTTTCTCCCGCGAACTCTCTGAATAAAACATTTGTTCGGCGTGTACTGTGGATCCCAAGCGTTATAATTTACACTTTATAATTATGATGTAACGTTTATGCAACAAATGGTTGTGGTATTAGTATTACATTTACAAAATTAACTCGTTAAAATCTTATAGTTATATATTAGGGTCAAAATATCACAATATCTCACTCTGTGTTATATATATTTACGTCTTCAGTTTACAAATCAGTGAAACACAAACATACTATGCGGGGGGACTACAGACCCCCTCAAAGTCCTTTACAACGTTACTGCTAGGTTACATAGCACTGAAAATCAATATTATCAGAAATTCAAATTCAAAGCAATGCCGTCATAATATTACAAAGCCCCAAAACGCAACAATGCTTCAAACACTATTATAACATGAGCATGCAAATAAAATAAATCATCTAAAAACTGAAAAGGGTAAAATAAAATAAGAATATAAACTAGGTCAACTAAATAGTACTAATACAACAACTCATCTCACCAACGACACGCACGAAATATCTCAAATAAGGTGAAAATAGGAACTCAATCTAGGTTCCAGGTACAACCACACGCGGGAAGCGTGAGCCGAAGAGAAAAGGCACATTACACTCAAGATTCAAGGTCCAAATTAATAAAAACGATATATGAAGGACAAACAAATATGAACTACTCCAACATATCAACAGTCTAGTTCTACACATTCCTAATCAAATATTTTGATAACACGATCGTAAATATCTACCCCAAATTTACACCAGATATTAAGTTTAGAATTGTAAAACTTATAAAATATATTATAGGAGTAGGACACAATTGGTCAGTTTGGATAAACTCCTCAGTTTGGGGTAGAGACGCAAGGGAGGTTTCAAGCTTTTGGTCGTTCTGAATTCAATATTGACAATAAATATTTGGATTCTGACTTTTGTTTAAATAGGCTTGGAAAAGCTTTATAAATATTTCCATTTTAAAACATCGAGCTAGCAAGGCCATAGTGATAGAGGGCACAACACGGGATGTTTTCCTAAACCAGTATTCATTTATTATAAGCTATAAGTGTACTCCTGAAATGCAGCTACAAGCCAGCGAAAGCAAAATTTAGTTTTTAAATCCTACAAGACTTTTAAAAGTACATACAATTACTTAATACACGATATTTTAATGACACTTACTTGTTACTGTACAGTGTACATGGTATGTTAACTTGAGAAGACCCAAGAGAAAAACATATGAACCCGAATATAACTAGCAAGAAACATATTGTGCATCCGTAGCAGACAGATTTGTGAAATCTCATCATAAACGACTAGATTGAATGTATTAACTATCGCTATTAATTAATATAAGTTGCGTTTTAGATATTCAAATCTCGGGATATTGAAGATTGAGAAGGTTTGCTACAACGATGTTCAATGTTACAATAAAGGGTATAACTATAAAACAAGTCGGTGAATCAGTATCAAATTCAGTGGTGTAACACTTGTAATACAAGTCTATTTTGAAGTTGTAGTTTAGATGAAGGGACTTGATGAAGGGACTTGATGAAGGGACTTGATGAAGGGACTTGATGAAGGTACTTGATCTGCTTTACAATCGTAAAGGTCGTCTTCAATATGTCTCCGTATCCTAATTACTCCCAGAGCGTCACCAACTCTTTCCTAACGGTTAAAGCAGCATCAGCTAGACTCACAGCTCCGTGGTGATGCTCCAGTTCGAACATGATCCTCCGAAGTACGACACCATTCGAAGGCAGTTTGGAGAAGGGCATTTTATCTAGAAGAGTTGGAAGAAAGGGAAGTTCGCTGCGGGGGATTGTTCTTTTAGGCATGATGTTCAGTATGCAGATTGTCAAGGTTGTAGATTGTAGATTGTAAAGTGGGAAGAATCGATATGTTTCGAACAGAAGGGACTGGTTATGTGCAGCGGTACTACTAACAATAATATCAGCGATAATAGCGGCGATCATAAAAATTGAAAATAAAACTGAAAAATTTAAAATAAAACTCAACAATTCAGGTGCAATGTGCATAAACGTGCTCCAGTAAATATGCACATTTTCAAGTAAAAAACTCGAATTCTACAGAACATTAGAACTGTCTTTCATTTCTTTCCTTTGTAAAAATAAAAATCGTAAAATAGTCCCCTTCATCAATTATTTTCAGAGTTTGGCATCAAACCTTATTATATATAATGGTATAGGCACATTTCTTTATTTTGATTAATGACGTAACCTCAAACCACTTTATCTAGAATTATAAATTTGAGTTGCAACTAAAACATCACACTATTATAAATAAATAAAAAATATATTATATTGGCAGAGAAGCCACGCTTTGAAGCTGCTCGAATTGGTAATAAAGATGCTGAAAAAAATAGAGCTGTCAAAGTATGAATTTGGAAGCTGTAGCACCGTTCATCAGATACTCATCAAAGCTAAAGAACTCAGACTGTCTCAGTGTTTCAAAACTGTCTTAATTTCACCGGATCGATCACACTAGATCCTCATTATTATCATAGTCCCGTTGGATTTTAGAAACGATATCTCGCATCAAGAAAGGCTCAGCTTCTTGTCCTTTGATAGGAATGGTATAGTCTTGGGAAAGCTGAAGCTGTGTAATGACTTCAGTCAATAATAAAGATGCTGAAAAACATAGAGCTGTCAAAGTATGAATTTGGAAGCTCTAGCACCGTTCATCAGATACTGATCAAAGCTAAAGAACTCAGACTGTCTCAGTGTTTCAAAACTGTCTTAATTTCACCGGATCGATCACACTAGATCCTCATTATTATCATAGTCCCGTTGGATTTTAGAAACAATATCTTGCATCAAGAAAGGCTCAGTTTCTTGTCCTTTGATAGGAATGGTATAGTCTTGGGAAAGCTGAAGCTGTGTAATGACTTCAGTCAATAAGGAAGGTTTATTCTGTAAAAATGTGCAGGCCACATTTATGTTTTTACCGTACTCTGTTATCTCCCATTTGATTGATGCATTGGGATTACTAACAGTCTTATTTTTGTTTAGACATTTGTTTTCAAAAGATTCCCTCATTTCTACAAACTCATTGACTTGAGATGCTACTTTTTCTCTGCCTACCCTATGGAGGTGCAGCTCGAATGTTTTGTTAAAATGATCAAATATTTGAGCATCTATAACTTGATATTTCAATATTCTGGCTTTAGTTTCCTCTGACAGTGTTACTTTTGGTTTTGGGCTGACATTATAATTAAGATACATAATGTCAGTCATATTCCAGCCAAGATATTCTTTAAGAATAATTAGACTTTCGTCCATTCTGTCGGTTATCATAACAAAGTCCATCTCTTGGTCCAGATGTTCTATAAAGGCGTTTATCTTTTCTTGAAGTGTTGATTCCATCATTCTGCAATACGATGAAAATATTAAATATCAATTTCACATTACCACCTTTTTCTTCAAAAATAACGATGTTTCATAAATTCTGGACCAACTTTTACATAAATACAAGGCCTTTTTCCAGCAACCAGTGTTTTTAATGATTGGTTACAGATTTCTGAAGTCTGGTTACCAAATGTATTGATTATTCAATAAACATCATTGGTTTCAGATTTCAGAAATCTGGCTAAAAATAAAATGTATTTACCTGCGGTTAAAAGCGTCCCATCCCAAGTCTTTAGCCACACTATTGATACTCAAGCTTATAGCAGGGGCAGTGTATTCTGTTGGTTCGGATATTTTGTCCAAGTAGTGTCCAATCAACGCGTCTATTGATAGGTCACCGTACTTCTAAAAGTAAAGGAGAGTTAGCAGTGAACATCTCTTTGTACATATTTGGACATCTTCATTTTGTACACTAAAATTACACGGGGGGCGCCAACAGGCAACGTTACGTCACTGCCACTGTCCAGTCTTTATGGCCAAAAGTTTCAATTAAACGAATTGTTCTGAGACAAATGGAGTCGTCCAACCCCCTTGTGGCTTGTTTTTTAGGGCAAATCTATATAAGCCATTCGATTACTTATATTCTGTAACCTAACTTGGTACGAATAGAGAATTTGGATGAACAGGATTAAAAATCTGGAATAAAAGACGAAGCTTTTACATTCGATGACATACCAATCGCATTTTGAACTCATTCCTAAAAAAGCTAAAAGCAGACTTAAACTGGGACACTGGAGATCTGACAATAGTAGAGTAAAGAGAGGTTTCTTTGGGCATTATCGTGTGTTCAGCATCTGGTTGGAAAATGATGTGTCGACACTGCATGTTGTACACTGATCCAGGTCTTGGTGGTAGCAGGCTCCTGAAAAAGGAATTGAAATATACGGTATTATCGTTAATGTCATGACCAAAATTATTCCAACTTAATTTTAACCTTTTGTCGAGTACGACGTAGTAAATCAAACTTTTTCGATTGTTTAACGTATTCAAATTGAGGGAACGTAAAGATCGTGTTACAAAGGAAGTAAGAAACTAATCTCAGCAGCTATTGTGAAATGCAAGTCAAACAAATTGTCACATATAGTAGTGTATACTAGGCAAAAAGAAACGGATATTTCTCCTTTTTCCCTATCTTTCAATATTGTGAGTATCCTCTCAAGTATCGATACCTCGAAACTTTACCAAATGAGAAGAATTTATATACGGTGGTATATCATAGATGAATTTGTAAAGTAATTATATGTGATAATGTATCACTGTTGAATACTGAACAATTAGTTCTACTTCTCCTTTACAGTTTACATGCCTGCATGCGTTTAACTTTATAAACTCACCGGTAATCTAAAGTGTTTATGTCACGCTCATAAGGAACCATGAAAAAGTTGAGCCTTTTTCTGACTCCACGAAGATAAAAAACATCAACTAAGGTGGAAGTTCCACACTTGTGGGTCCTTATAAACATCAAGTTCTTTTTAATTGATATCTGTTCCGAATGACTTAAACTTGGCTTATCTTTTGACTCGAACAGTTGATCTGAATTTGTTAATGTTGAAATCACTTTCTCTGATGTGTCTGAAACTACACCCTCACTGACAGAAATATTTATTATCGGCGAATTGACCATATAGGAGCCTGTGTCAGAAATCTCCACCCTTTTTCCTTTGTCGTTTGCTAGTTCAAACATCAAGAAAACCAAACATGTAACCAATATGCACACGCCAAGTTTTAAACCAGAGTTCAATGAAGGTACCATTTCTGATCGTTGTTGAGGATAGTAATAGTTTAGTGTCAGGTTGCACAAACAATAAACATATGGTTACATTGAAATATACACGATTTTCAAATTCAATATACAGGGTTGGCCAAAAGTCATTAGGCATACTTTGGCCTTAATAGCTCAGTCACTGAGTTCCCGATTGAAATAATTTTGTCTGGTATGACTTATACTACCACCACTTGTTCGGGGAATTTGTCAAATCGAAAAATATTCGAGTTCATTTTTTTCAAATAAAGGTTCATTTTTGCATTTATTTCATATTTTGGATAGTCGGTCCAAATTACAGCCAAACAATGTTATTAAATTAGCGGGCCAATGCACAGGATTAACACTCTTATTAGATCGAATGTAGTTCCTCCTTACACATGCGCAGAGCATTCGCATAGCCATGAGTCTATGCGTACTGCGTGACGCGCTTGTTTCACAAGTACATTTTTTTCTGTGCCTTCAACGGTCGCAATGACCCTATATAAAAACAACCCTTCAAAAAAATCAATATATTCCCTATCTCAAATATTTGGAGAAACATTTGAAAATCACCCTTGGCCTTGTGGCTCCAAATTCAGATCTAGACTATCTATATTATAACAAAGTTCTTTCTCGCACCTCTGTCTCCCCGGAGAGAAATCACTGTTGTTCTTAGGATTTCGAAACAAAGGTGCTTCCTTATATTCCTTATATTAATCCTTATATATTCAACATCATCTGAATATCTTTGACTTGTGTGATATTCCATCTTACTAGCCAGCATCTTCACCAGTCTTACAGCTTCACCACCCATTCCACCAGACGTTGAGAAAACTAACGGCGTGAAGCTTCCTTTCTCTACTTCAAGACCCCTTACATTGTAACAATGTTTTTGCTGGGATCGATTTGCTTGCATTGGAGGGGGCTGGGGCATGGAATACCCTTACATCAAAATATGCCCTCTCTGAAGCATTCCAAATCGATCTTGCAGAAATGTCCAGCCTAGCTTGGTCTCCTAGGACTGTTCCCTTTGGCAACTCTAGACCACCACTGGAAGAAGAACTGGCTCAGTCTGCACTCTGCACACATCCTTGCATTTCACAGTTCTCATTAGTTCTGCAAAGGTGTCTCTCAGCGAGTTGTGCCGCAGTGACACATACCCACCGAGTTTGCAGATGAGCGCATGGTTTGCCGAGTATTTCTGGCCACACGTACATGTCTTAGGGATATCCTTTAAGTTCAGGTTATATCTGAGAGCTATTGCGTCTGAGAACTGTTGTTTATTCATCAGATATCCATACTCTTTTAAAGGTAGTGCTTTTAACCAAGCACTTGCCCCTTTCTCAGTAGCTAGTTGGAACATCAACTTTGCCAGTGGTGTTGACTCGAGCTCCTGACGTATTTCTGCTTGTTTTTGTAAATAGAAGAGATTTCGTTCGGTCGTTATTTCGGTTTTCACTCCTTTGCTGTGTGTCCAGTCCTCTGTGTAGTTGTCTACCTGCTTGAGAATGGCTTCTTTTAGGTGTTTTGTTGCTTTACATGAGTGATGAGAATTTTTACTCTCGATCTGCCATGTCCATCATAACTGGGATACCTAATCCTCCATTTCTTGGTGGTAGAGCCATTATGTTCCTTAGTTCATCAGTGCAGCTAAACAGCCTGTTGATTATAGCTGGGATAAACTCATCACGTGTTATTTGTTCCAAAGCCTATCTGCCACTGGTAGCTGGGGTAGTTCTGCACACATAGTTCCATGATCCATCTTTTACTAAGCCCATACAGTATACACGTATGCACTGTATGCTATTTGAGGTTCTCTTGATGCTATATCACTTAACTGTTTAAGATCACGACACCATTCTTGAACTTTTTCCTCGATGAAAGCCTCTTTTCCTTGATCCGTTCCGATGAAGCTGCCCAGATATCGTCGACCAATGCTTGTCACATTGACATCTGGGAATATGCTTCTTGCCTTCTCTTCGTGCTCAGGCTTGACAATAACCCACGTCTTAGAAGATATAGGGTTGTATCCAAAGAGTGGTCCTTTAATGCAGAGGTTATCCCACCACTTCCTCATTTCTTCCAGTTTTCCCCCAGCAGCAGAGTCATCAGCATACCAGATCTGAGTCACCTTTCTCTCAATGTTTCCTGCATCAATTGCAATGGTATTGTACCACAGGCATAAAATCCCATGACAGGTGGGTCACCTTGTGTGGTCCCTTCTTTGGCAAGTTGGTCGTTTAGCTCCGGACAGTCTATGCACGGTACCTGCACGGTCCATGCAACAACAAAAGAACACTCCATGCACGGTCCCTGCACGGTCCCTGCACAATGAACACTTGATGCACGGTCCCTGCACGGTCAGTCCCTGCACACTCCCTGCACGGTCTATGCACGGTCCCTGCACGGTCCCTGCACGGTCCCTGCACGGTCCCTGCACAGTAACATATGAACACCGGCTACTAGCCGGCTAGTAGCCACTTTTGTAATAACAGCTTCTCAACTTCACATGACCAAACCGGCTAATAACCGATCACTAGCCGGCTATTAGCTTGGCTCTAAAGCAGACCTACTTTCTCGAGGTCCCAAACCGGCTACTAGCCGGCACTTGAAAGTGGTCACTAGCCAGCTACTAGTAGCCACAAAGTGGCTACTAACCGGCACTTAAAAAGTCTGTCTATGCACGGTCCCTGCACGGTCCCTACACAGTAACATATGAACACCGGCTACTAACCGGCTACTAGCCGGCAAGTGACCACAAAGTGGCTACTAACCGGCTACTAGGCGGTCACTACTCACTAGCCGGCTAATAGCTGAGCTAATCGATTTTAAAACTTACTTTCAAATAATTTGTTTCAAATAACTTGTTTCAAATAATTTGTTCCTTTATTTGGCAATAAATTCCTTCTAGTTTCTACAAAACGAATTTAAAACTGATAGCTGGCTAACAGTAATAGCCGGTAAGTAGCCGGCTAGTGACCACTTTTTAAGTGCCGGCTAGTAGCCGGCTAGTAGCCGGTTTGGGACCTCGAGAAAGTAGGTCTGCTTCAGAGCTCAGCTAATAGCCGGCTAGTGACCGCCTAGTAGCCGGTTAGTAGCCACTTTGTGGTCACTAGCCGGCTAGTAGCCGGTTAGTAGCCGGCTAGTAGCCAGTTAGTAGCCGGCTAGTAGCCGGTTAGTAGCCGGCTAGTAGCCGGTTAGTAGCCGGCTAGTAGCCGGCTACTAACCGGCGGTCGCGCGCTACTGCAAGCGAGAGGGCTCTGGTTAGAGCAATGTAGAGCAAATAAGAAACTTACATTAACCTAATAAAATGACACAACTTTGCATTTATAGGTGATGGCCAGCAAAAATAGTAAATACTGACACGTCACCAGAAATTGTACTCATAGCTTAAGCTATATGCTCAACCCCAGCGCGTGGGGACACGTTTTTGCTAGTAGTTGGTTGCGGCGACGTTACTTTAGTACTTTAATATGAGTGTCGAATCTCGCGACTTCAACGAAGTCCTGGGGACAAGTTTTCAATAATCCATAAACTTTTCAGCCCCTATCGTTTTAAGCATCGTTTGCTAGTATATACTAATTACTATACATCAAAAAGTGCTATATATCATGTACTACTACTCTTACTATGAAGTCAACCAAATTCCCTTCCCTCTACATAATATCATGATATCATGTTTCAAATATGAAAATTTACCTTAGAACAAAAGAAAACATATATATTTTATCATACATACAGATATGAATGATAAAATTATGATTCAAAATGATGAAATAATCCACTAACTCTACCTAATGTAGATAAACAATATAGGTTCAATAACGAACAAGACACTGTTGCTTAAGCAGATTGAAATACGAGCTGATCGCACCTTATGCAATCATTTCAAAGGAGCAGGTGGATAGGAAGTGAATAAGAGGGAAGAGATGCAGTTAACAAATTTAGTTATACTATTACTAGGAGGTGAAATTTGAACGTATTGATTGCAGTGATTGTGAATGTATTGATGACGTTATAACGGCAGAATTTTAACAAAAATTTCAATATTGTATCACCGTAAATTTTTGCATAGTGCTATTTTATATATACAGGGTGGGCCAAAAGTCACTGGACATACGTTGGCCTTAATAGCTCCGCCGTGTTTTATATTTGAGAGCTATTGCTTTGCAGATAGCATAGCTGTACCTTCTGGTTCGAGGATTTTGTCATCAAAATTTGAAAATTCGAGTATTTTAGACCACGCCCATTCATTATTAAAACACCTATAATGTTCTCTCTGAACATGCTGGACGCCTAATTTTTTCAGAGACGGTAGATTATTACATGTTCCATCTGATCTGAAAAAATGGCTGCCAGACTTTGGGGCCGGAGTGATATGATCCACCATATACGTCATCAAGTAATTAACATGCAAGCTTGAAGCTTGTGGTGTATAATTAGTGATGTGATCCATGGATTGAATATAATTGAACTAGAAATGGGCTAGATCTGGGGTACAGTTCATATGACAACTCTGTACATTGGCGGATCATACCCGCCCCGGCACTATGCCGGCCCATGATTTTCCGAATCGCTTACCAGTGGAAATCTAGTCAATTCAAATATCTGCTTGCTTGGTACTCATGGTCGATACAATCACAGCCCAACCAACTACTTGATCAGACCGATTCACCTTCAATGTGCCTTCATGTCCTTCAATGTCCTTCATGTGCATACTTCATCTGGGAGCCTTCAGTTGAGCTTGCTCTCTGACTCGCGGGTTGAAAACATCGTGTACAGTACTTCGTGAGTAGTACAGTCTGTACTACTCACGAAGTACTGTACAGTACTTCACAACGATAACCCGCTTCCCCAACCAAATCTCTTAAACTCTGTACATAGAAGCTACAAATTAAGAAGTGAAACTGAACATGTTTTAAATTGAGACCTGTTGCTCCTTAATAGCACGAAAATATTCTTTGGGCGATTCACTCGGGTTTTGAAACCTCTGTGAAACCCCTCTAC